TAAAAAAAGAGAGTCCTGAACTACTACATAATAGAAATTGCAGCAAATGCTGAACCATTTCAGCGCAGACGAAGAGGAGACTTGAGACAATAAATATATGGTTCTACAGAGAGATGCTGAGAATGAAATGGACGGAGAATGTAACAATAAAGTTTTAAGGAAAATGAGATAAAAAAAAAGGATTCTTATACTTAGATACAGAAAGAGAAGGTTGCAATTCGGTGACACATAAAGAAGAAAGCTGACTTGAAAATTTTGACTAGAAAATTTGACCGGTATATTTAACTGGAAAATTTTGACCAGAAAATTTGACCAATATATTTAACTGAAAAATTTTGACCGGAAAATTTGACCAGTATATTTAACTGGAAAATTTTGACCGGAAAATTTGACCAGTATATTTAACTGGAAAATTTTGACCAGAAAATTTGACCAGTATATTTAACTGGAAAATTTTGACCGGAAAATTTGACCGGAATAATCGGAAAATTCAGAACAGAAAAAGCGAGTAAACTACCCCCAAAAGCTTGTGTAAATAGATGGCTGAACAGGAAGTGGGAAGGATAGTAAGAAGGCAAACATTATTAAGAGTTATGAAAAATAGGAAAATGTGGAGAGCCATAAGCGTTCATATTCTGAAAGGACAGAGGGAAACATTGAGTAAAATGCTTATCAAGCTTGTGTAAATGGATGGCAGCACATGGAGTGAGAGGAGTAGTAAAAAGGCAAATATTATTAAGGATAGGCAGTTGTGGAGAGCCATGATCACTCATGTCCTGAATAGAGAGGAAAATAGCGAGCAACCTACCTAAAGAACTTGTGTAAATGAATGGCAGCACAGGAAGTGAGAGGGATAGTAAAAAACAAACGTTAAGACACATTGGTAAGAGCTATAGATAATTAGAAGTTGTGGAGAGCCATGATCACTCATGCTCCGAATGGGGAGGAAAACAGCGAGTGACTTACCTGAAGAACTTGTGTAAAAGAATGGCAGCACAGGATGTGAGAGGGATAATAAAAAAACAAACTTTAAGACGCATTGGTAAGAGCTACAAATAATTAGAAGTTGTGGAGAGCCATGATCACTCATGTCTTGAATGGACAGAGAGGAACAGCGAGAAAGCTACCTAAAAAACTTCTGTTAATGAATAGCAGCCCAGGGAGTGTGAGGGATAGCTAAAAAAAACAAAAAACAAAACAAACCAAAAAACAAAAACGTTAGGACACATTGATAAGAGGTATAGATGATAGGAAGTTGTGGAGAGGCATGATCACTCATATCCTGAATGGACAGAGAGGAACAGCGAGCAAGTTACCTAAAGAACTTTTGTAAATTAATCGCAGCACAGGACGTGAATGGGATAGTAAAAAAAAACAAAAACAAACGTTGTTAAGACGCTTTGGTAAAAATGATAGGAAGTTGTGGAGAGCCATGATCACATACGTCCTGAAGAGACGCAACACGTGAAGAAGAAGGGGAAACGTTTCGATACCATCTGGTAGCCATTGTGAGTCTTGATTGATGGAAACCAGTCTTTGGCGATTTTAATCTAGAGCTGTTTTTTTTTTTGTCGCTTGTTTGTGGGATAAAATAAATAAAATCCGTGAAGTAAAACAAAACCGAAAAAAAAAAGATTTTACCCACCGCCCTGCAAAAAAAAAAAAAAAAAAACAAAAAAAAAAAAAACCCCCAAAAAAAAACAATAAATACCCCCCACCAAAAAAAAACACACCAAAAAAAAAAACAACCAAAAAAAAAACAACGATAACAGTTTGATATGAAAATTGAAGAGATACATTTGCAGAGGTTTAGGAAACGCGAAAAGAGAAATGGCGGCTTGTGACCTTTATTTTTGTTCAGTCTTATGTAAGTATATTTGGAATTTGGACAAAGTGGGTGACTTTTGAACGAGGAATGTTGCTGGAATCAAAACATGTGCAACATGTTAACACCGTGCTGTCCAAAAACAAATACAGAACTCTCTTGGGGTTTATTTTATTCTCTTTGAATCGAAAAATGTTTATGTTTAAGTGGGGTGGAGGAAAAAGTTTCTGAATACAGAAGACATCTGGAAAAATAGACTGAATCACAACACCGTAAGAAACAATAAAAGAACTAACAGATGGAATAAAAAAAAAGGCATTGTGCAGAGCGAGGGGTAAGATTATACCGTCAATCAAAGAATAAGTGAATACAGAAGGAGTACAAAATAGGCTTTGAAACGTGCAAGAAGACTGAATAGAATTTAATGTCCATCAGGCTGCTTGATCTAGGAAGAATTGATCTCTAGCGACCCAAATAGGTATTTAAGTATTTACTGTCTTCCCATTAAGACGAGTTGAGACACAAGGTCTTTTTTTTTTAAAGTGGGGACCCGAGCCCGTACACCCGGGCAAGGAACAATTTGCAGTTGAACAGTTGCGCTGGCCTCGGTGCGAGCACCGATCCCTCTCCCTGGTGCAAGGGCACCTCTCAGTATAATTTTTCTCAGTTGCGACTCTGTCCTTTGATGTAGTCTCCCCTGAGTGCACTCTGCCCAACGACAGAGACGCAACTTAGAGATGATAAATAATGTTAAAAACCACTCATGAGAGCAGCTTACACACATGATTCCATCTAACGGGTGCCAAATTAAATTTTATACTCGGTGTCACCATAGAAAATCAAAATACCCAGAAGCCTCGAGGGTTGAACTAGAAGGTACCATCATAGCCACCGAGTGCAGAATCGGAACTCGAAAAATGTCGATGGTTGCATCAACTTAAACGAGGAATTGAACCCAGCTGAACTTAGGATATACACACAGAAAATTAACCAGCTAAAAGGAAATTTAAAAAAAAAATCAGACTTACGAAGGAAAAAGGAAAATCCTTTACAACCTCGCAAGAAGATCGAACGTTCCAATAAAGACTTAAAATCACATACCCTCGATTCGACCGATGTCCATTTGATGATGTTCAGAAAAGAATAAATCATTTTTTACGTATAGAAAAATTAGTCTTGTATCAGACATAGCTAGCATTACAATACAAAACAATGGTATACACTGACGTGCCAAAAGATAAAGGATAACGTTATGTAAAGGTAATAATATACGGCGCCAAATAAACATATCAGACCAATAGAAGCATTGCTTTTTGACAAAGTTCAAAAGATTTTACGCAGAATTTTTTTTATCATTTCACTCCCACAAGGAAGGCGATAAAGTCTCTAAGACTCAACGGAATACCGATTGTGAGAGAATATGAGAAAAAGAAAACAGCATTAAGGAGAAAGAACAATAAAAAGAACAGGAATTAAAAAGACGGAAGATAACGATTGACATTGCATTTACATTTTTGAAGATCAAACTTGATTAGAAAGCAAGAAGCCGGAAATGAAAAGTGTGTGAGAAGAAACTGCTGGCATAGAACTTACGGTTACATCTAGCGATTTCAGCTGTAAAATGATCGGACATATCCGTCTTGATAACGACACAGTGAATTTCAGTAGCTTAGATAAAACATAGTTTGGAAATAAAAGTTTTTCGGATTTTGAGCTAGGAAAAAATATTCCAGGCAACACCATAAATAGTCGAGTGCCCCACCCTTTGATCCATAGGAGATGACACATTTGTATGCAGATAATGACAGGTGAATACTTTATCTAGACGCTGTAAGTTGGGAAGCGGCAAAACTGGAAGAAATGTACTTTTTTTTTCTTGTTGAAATGACCACAAATTCAGACGGGATTTCATATTTACAGACAATACATTCTAACGAAATGGACAATTTTTCTCCCAGAATACAAAGACAAAAAAAAAAAAAAAAAAAAATGGAAAAAAAAAAAAAAAAAGAAATTCTTTCCTTGAAAAACAGAATTTGTGTTATTTTTTTTTAAATTACTTTCTTCGTTAGCTTCTGAGCCGATCATTGGAAAAGCAATTTACAAAAATACCCATATAAATGAAACTACGATTCTCCAAAGAAAGTAAAAAATTGGTATGTACCAAGCATTCACAAGACTGGCGAATGTATAGGCTGAAAATTGTTGATATTTGTTTTTCTAAATTTCTTTTTTTCTTTCTTTCTTTCTTTCTTTCTTTCTTTCTTTCTTTCTACCGCCGTATACTTTCATCTTTTCTACCATCTTTATTATTCACTGATCAATTCTTTCTTTCTTTCTTTCTTTCTTTCTTTCTTTCTTTCTTTCTTTCTTTCTTTTCTCTCTGTCCTCTATTTCTTCTTAATTCTACATATTTCTTCTTTCTTTCTTTCTTTTTCTTTTTCTTTCTTTCTTTCTTTCTTTCTTTCTTTCTACCATCATATACTTTCTTCCTTTCCACCATCTTTATCATTCTTTCTTTCTTTCTTTCTTTCTTTCTTTCTTTCTTTCTTTCTTTCTTTCTTTCTTTCTTTCAATCCCCCGCCGTGTTTTTTTCATACATATAGTGATTTAAATATTATGGGGATTTAATCTAGTATTCGGACAGCGAAGTTAGACTCTTGAGCCAAGTGTTTCCAAAAGTCTGTAGAATAGTCGTGGCACAAGGCAGAAAGTATGGAGCACCCAGTTAGGATCAAACTCAGCCATTGTGCCACGTCGAATTGCCCAAACTTTACGTGTTTTATAATCATCTAATAAAACAAGGGACTATTTTTCAATGGGGCTCCCGGCAAGGGTTTGCGCTCAAATTAGCAACCAAGAAATCTTTAAGAAAATGGTAACAAAAAGAACCCTGATGCATCGGAATCAAGAAGAAACAGCTTAAAATTCCATGGACACATGGCTTACGATGTTAAGCAACGTCGAGCATGGTCTATACTAGATGGGTAACGGCTTCGGAATACCAGGTGCAGTAAGCTTGGATGTTTGGGCGGTATTGCTTATGGTTATATTTCGTTGACGCAACGGTTCGCTCACGATTACAGAAGTTCAGCAACGTCCAAACTGGTTATTACCTAGTTGGGTGACCACTTGGGAATATCAATTGCAGTAAGCTTGGCTGCATTGCTTACGGCTGTATTACGTTGAGACACCGGTTCTCATATGATCACAGAAGTTAAGCAACTTCCAACCTGGTCATAACCTAGATGGGTGACCGCTTGGGAATACCAGGTGTTGTAAGCTTTGATATGAGGGTAGTTTAATGAATAATGACGCTGAATTGTTAAGCCGAGAGACGAGTTCCAATTACAGTTGGGTTCGTTATATTCACTCATGTGCAAATAACCTTGGGAAAGGTATGAATCTATCTCTTCTCTCCCCAGCTATGGATTAATTAGTAAGATTTGTATCGCTAAAAATATTATACCCCCCCCCACCTAAAAAAATATATACAAAATATTTAAATTTCAGTATTAAATAATTCATAGAGGTTGATATGTCGCTTAACAAAAACAACGAATCAAAAATTCTTCTATGAGCTGTGTCCTTTCTGGACGTGGGTGACCATGGCTCCCTACAACCTCCTATCTATTGTAGCTCTTTTACAACGTTTGCTACGCCAGAACAAATATCCGTACTGTCATTAATTTACACAAACGCTTTACATAAGTGCCCGTCTACAACCCCTTTCCACTTTGCCTTCGATACGACGTGAGTATCATATTCTCCGAGCCCTCCTACCGCATTCAAAGGAATGTCAGCTTTCTTCCGGATTCCGAGTATAAGTGTCCTTTTTTTTTTTCCATTTCCTTAAGACTCCGTCCATGTTATTCTCAACATCTTTCTGTAGAACCACATATCTGTTTCTTCCTGTTTTTCTTTCATTTGTGAGGACATTGTCCAGCATTCGCTGCCATAGAAAGCGACGAATATTGCATAATACCTCAGCGTATTTTTTTTCTTGTTGCTAACAAGCTGTTGCTGTTTCTGTATACATTGCTTAGCTTTTGAAAGGCATATGTTGCAATTCCAATGCGCGTCTGGACTTAGATGTCGATATTTCCATCCTCTGCTGGGACACTTCTCAGATATCTAAATTTTGTCAAAAAAAAAAAAAAAAAAAAAAAAAAGCTTTGGAAGTATTTAGGCTTCTAATATCGTGTAATGGCAGCCTCCCCTAAGTTAAATAATAAAAAAACAGTTTTCTTTTTACAAATTGAAATATATGACCAATACCTCTCAGTCTTAGTATTTGAATTTTCTGATAAATCTTAGTTCTCAAGATATTAATTGAATAAACTCCTTCCATGCTCCATGGCCATAAAACACATCTGAAATTCCTCTATTGACTTGTTAAATGTTTGAACTTAACAACTTTAACAAAATATTATAATAACAATTCTAAATATGAGTAATTATTTAAAGAAGTAAGACGGTACAAATGAAAAGATTAAATACTGACAAGTTTTTCCATTTCACTGAAACAGATGCTAAACTATGAGTGTCATCATCTCCTCTATTTCCCCATTTTTTCTATTTTTTTCTAAGCCTTCTTGCCCATTCCACTCTGGATTCAAAGAAAAAAAAAAAAGGACTGCCTATTTGTGTTCTGCACATTATATAAGCCAGCATGTTCTTAGTATTATGGGCTTAGTTTTGGCTAATGAACAGGCTCCTTAAACGCAATTCCTTTCTCTAATTAAAGAGCATAAGTGCCTGTTCTTTTTCCGTTTGTTTTCTTTTTTTTTTTTTAAAGCATTTCACCCAGAGCAAGGCGGAAGTGCCACTAGCCGAAATCTTTTCGTCTGAACGGTCGAACTCTCTGCTTCTGAGCAGAGAGGAACCCGAGCGTGGCTCCGCCGAAGGGCAGAGACTCGTTCGGGGAGGTTGATCAACCCGATCCCGTTATAGGGGTTCTACGGGCATTTTTGGCCGAGCCTACGGGCTCGGAGAACCCACGTTAAAATATATATATATATATATATGGGCCAGTCCAAAACTTCAATGTTTTTTTGTTTTAAACCAGTCTTTCATGAGCTTACAAGTGTGTATGGCTGCGTTGTATTGTGGAAAATGGCATTATTAGTGTGTAAACGATTCATAAATGGAGCAAGACTTTTTTTCCAACACATTGATATATCGAGCAGAGTTTTGTTCCCCTTCTATCAGTAATAAATCAGGCTTTCCTGACACAAAAAGATCCTCAAACCATAACAGATCCTTCTCAATTAAACTTTTTCTGATCAGAAAACATCACGGTTTTCCATTCCTCCTTTGTCCATGTTACTTTTTTCTTTACCCAATCTACGCACATCTTGTGTTAAAGCAGGGTCTGTCTTCCTGTTTCGATACACGTGATTTGGCGTTTAATGGAGAAGTTGACGAACTCTTCTTGGAGTGATGGGTAATTTCTGAGATTTTTGCAGATTTCTTGAGCTTGATTGTCCTTTAGAAGCTTCTAGAGAAAACCGACGTCTGGCTGCATTTGTAATTTTAGGTGGACGACCTGGACGTTTTCTGGTGCCATACGATTCAGGGTCCTTTAGATATTTTCTCACAATTGTTCGGGACCTCTACAGTTCTCTTGCAATGAAAATAATAGATTTTCCTGATAAATATGGCAACAAAGACGAGGACAATAGTCCGAATAAGGTAAATAGTGAAATCCAAGTGGTTAAAAGATCTTACTATATTTTCTCGTTTCGTTTTGAAAATCTAATTCAAATATATGTACGTGTCTTCTGTGGATGTTTGTTTGTGTGTGTGAGAAGCTAGAAATATCGCTTAATTTGAACTTCGGTGTAAAAAAAAATGGAAGAAAATATATTTTGTTCTTTTTTCCTTGGAAGATACATTATCAAGTCATTTCAAAGGTTCATTTAAGTAACGTTATCAGAAATACATCCTTATCATCGATTGTCAAAAAAGAATCGAGAAAACATTTTGAAAATCTTTTATAATCGGAAACAAACAATTTGCAAGGCTAAATCAAATTTGCCGAACAAAGGTTCATACATTCAAGAGATATTTCTGTTCAAGATACTTTTCGTTCGAACTACGTCTTTTTTTTTTTGCTCGGGAAAAGACAAACATTGCAATAGGTCTGTTCATTCTGGTGTATTTTGTTTCTCTTTAGTGTTGAAAATCTTATTTTTCTTGAGTTAAAAAAAAAGATTCATTCCTCTTTTTGTATTGTCTTTCAAGGCTTTCATAATTTTGCAAGGAGTCTTTCATTTCTCCATTCATCTGTCAATAATTTCTTTTCATTCTCTCGTCAGAATTTTATCTGGTGTACATATTTACGTGAGACTTTCTTTTACTCTTTCGTTTAACAAGTAGTTTCTTTTTTTCTTCTAATGCAAATATTATACTTTCTTTATTTTAATGCATATACCATTCTTTCTTCCTTTCCTTTCTTTCTTATCTTCTTTCTTTCTTTAATGAAAATGCCTTTCTTTCTTTCTTTCTTTCTTTCTTTCTTTCTTTCTTTCTTTCTTTCTTTCTTTCAAACTTTCAAACTTTCTTTCTTTCAAACTTTCTTTCAAACTTTCTTTCTTTCTCTGTACACAAACCCCAATATGTCTTTCTTTAAATGCATCTACCATTCCTTCTGGCTCTTAATACAAATACCACTCTTTCTGTCTTTCTTTCTGTCTTTCTTTCTTTCTTTCTTTTAATGCAAATACAATTCTTTCGTTCTTCCTTTCTTTTCTTTCATATCTTCTTTCTTTCTTTTAACGCAAATACCATTCTTTCTTTTAACGCAAATACCATTCTTTCTTTCTTTTAATACATATATTTATTCTTTCTTTCTCTTAATACAAATACCATACTTTCTTTCTTTCTCGTAAATTAAGTACCATTTTCCTTTCTTTCTTTTTCTTTCTTTTTTCTTCCTTTTTTCTTTCTCTCTTTCTTTTAATGCAAACACTATTCTATCATTCTTTCAATACATATATCTTTCTTTTTTTTTCTTTCTCCCTCTCTATTAATGCCAACAACCTGCTATCTTTCTCATAATGCAAACACTATTCTATCATTCTTTCAATATAAATGTGTATCTTTCTTCCTTTCTTTTGATGTTAACAACAAACTTTCTTTGTTTCTTTCTTTCTTGTGATGCAAACACCATTCTTCTTTTCTTTTCTTACAATGCAAGAAACTTTCTTTTTATTTATCAATTTTTCGTTCATTACAAACATCACACTCTCAATTTGTATAATGACAATGCCATTCGTTCGTTCGTTCGTTCTTTCCTTCTTTCCCTATTCATTTCAATAAAAACATTAAAGTCTCTTTCCTAATATATATTTTCTTTAGAATGACCGGTTGTCTTTTTCCCCAACACATTTCTAAATATTATACAAAAATAAAACTTTAGCGCCTCATGCCACAGGGAATAAATAACTGAAAGGCATGACTTACCAAGAAGAGTTTGAAAGCGAATGAAGGCAAATAATTCTTGATATTTAATATATATATATATATATATATATACATATTACTTATTATAAAACGCAGATTGTGTGTGTGTGTGTGTGTGTCTGTACGTTTATATATTGGATCGGATTTCCTGCATTTTTCAACCGATTTCAACAAAACTTCACAGGACTACGTAAAATTACCTTGCGGTGGTTCTAACAGCGCCAATAATTGAAAAAACACAATTGTTTTTGCCCGAAATCAATTTGAAAACACGATTAAGAGGCATCGCGAGAATGAAAGGGGGACAACTCATATCGAGTTATACTTATTAAAAAACCCAGGTTGTTTGTGTGTGCGTGTGTTCGTTTATATATGGGATCGGATTTCCTACATTTTTTAACCGATTTCAACAAAACTTCACTTTTTTTTTGGCAGGTAGTGTTTCTTATTGTCTTGCACACTTTTTTCTTTATTTTTTCATTCAGAATGCTTTAAAAATTCCATTTACAAGACAATTGTTTAAAATGAAATTCTATTCAATCGGTAGACTCATAACGATTGAAAACAATGTTTTTGTTTGAGTTTGGCTTTGCCCAATTCGTAAAAAAAAAAAAACTAATTAAGACATGCGTATCCGTCAACCTTAAACAATAATCTTTGTCAATTTTCTTTTTCAGTCTTTATGATGGTCGATACTTGATCTATCTCTTACTGTCACATCCCCGGCAACGCCGGGCTCTACTGCTAGTATATATATATATATATATATATATATATATATATATATATATATATATATATATATATATATGTTTT